TTTGGACGGTACTGTACTGTACTATACTGTCCATTTATTGTGTACGTGTATCCAAATTGTCACCCTTGTCGTAGAGAGGGAATAAGGGTTTGTCTTGTCTTTCTAGCGCGTGGGTGACAGCCTTTATGCAAGGGGGAATTTTGATTGATTACACAGTGTATTATATTACTCTGTAGAATTAATACTAACAACTGTATTGAAGGTTCTTACTACTCTCAATTAGTATGGGAGACAAGAGATTGTACACATAGTTGAAGTTATTTTAAAACTATCACTAAGTCCTATTCTCTCTTTATTGTCTATGTTCTCTATACAGTACTGTGTACATAGACGTACTGTATGCCGTTCACACTTACAACGCGTTATAATGACAAGTTTGTATCGTGTAACAGTAAATTCGCTACAGTATTACAGCGCATTTTACCGTCCAACAAATGCAGTACAGTACAGTACTGTACTGTACTGTACTGCTACAGTACTTTTCAACTTGTACTGTACTGTACCGTACTGGTGGTCGGTTACGACACTGAGACAAACTAGCCAATCAAATGCCAGCCAAGGATGCGTCGCCGAATTTAAAAAAAACGTCAACTTTTCAATTGTACACCTCCAATGATACCAGAGTGAGTGCAGTCATCCATTCATCTCCAACTCGACCAATCTATATACTGAAATGACTCCTGCAGTCCATACAAACTTTACTGACTGGCTGGAAGTTAGAAATCACACCCAAAGTAGGATAGATTCATGTCTGCCTTCATATTCTGCATACTATCTGGTTGACACTTGACTATTTATATTGNGACCAACGCTTCAAGTTAAAAGGAACGTAGAGTCACATTACGTTCCAGTGTTGCAAGTCGAAGCAAAGTTTCACCCGCTGGATTTTCTCTCCCTCTTTGGCCACCCCAAAATATTCACAGCAACTTGATATTGGATCACTTCAATGTAAGATTGAAATAGGGAAATTTTTCCTATTTGAGATTGTTGATATGTAGTCTACTGATTTATTGACGAATGCAGGATACAAGCCACTCGATTTGAATGGCCATTATTTTTTCTAATGGCGTCTGGTAATGTTGTTTGTACGATTTAGATTCTCTCTCCATTTTTTCAAGAAAAAATAACATGGCCCTACGCTATACTAGTGGTGTGGTAAGTCTTACAAGATGATCTACTGAGCTAATGTACTACTTATGGAATGTTTCCATTTCCCCATTGCAATACCATTCTTGTTGTCGTCCTTTTCCACATGGACTATCAATCAATTTTTACTATTTCAGTCGTTCAATCAATATAATTTATAGCCAATACTATTCACAAGTAGACATCAATCTATTTTATCGCATAACATATCTATTGAAGTACACTTACATATAACAACATTCCAATTCAATAATTGAATACAGCAAGGTAGACGTGGAACCAGGGGTATCAATGAAAATACTACCCACGGTAATATCTTGGCTGCCAAGGCATTTCAACGAGACTCCAATCGTGCTGCTTTAGGAGATATTGGAAATAAAGAAAATAAAGATCCTGTTGGCAAGGGTAAAAAGGTACAGTATATTAAAATAAATAAAAACATTAGTTCTTTCCGTTCCATCTATAACGATTACGCTAATGCAATCAATTTCAAAAAATTTTCAAAATTAAAAATATACATGCGCAATATCATTAGCATAACGATTCTTTAAATCTTATTTTTAACGTAAATATCTTTCATTGAACTGAAAATAGTTTTTAGTGTCGTCTTGTGACGATAGGCCATCAATTAAATACGACACTAGCTAGCTACATTCTGCATACTCATTACGTTACCGATATAGACAGAAATGTACTTTAGCCGTGTAATGATCGGATGCCAAGCTCTACCTAAACAATTCTAATAGCAAAATCAAGGCAGTAGTTAGTCAATCATAAACGGAGAACCTTTGTACAAAAGTCAAATATTCTAGCCTTGAAGTAGCACTATAATTAAAAATCTATTTTAAAATGATAGGCAAGTACAAAAGGACCTACGCAAACATCAAAGTCTACACTTTCTCGAAATGTTGCAAACGCACATTTAGCCCTATTTACAAAAACTACCGAAAGTGTGAAAGATCCAACTCCTGTACTAACGGAAGAAGTCCAAGATGATATTGAAGATATCGATCGAGCCGACTTTGATAACCCGCAACTAGTTGCGGAATATATAAATGAAATTTATCATCACATGAGGCAGAAAATATCAGCCACTCGTTAAAATATAAAATTATGTTACTTTAGCTATTAACTATCTTCTCTTATGCTAGCGTAGTCAATTTAATCAGACAACCACACACTTATTGGTATCTGTCAAGTTTCATAACTACTGTATGATTTAGCACGCTCTTTAGTATAACCTAACACTAGCAAACAAACTGTAAAAATGAAGAATTTAAACGTTAAATTATTTGTAAAGCCTTAACATGATAAATTTCTTCAACCACTAATTCATATAAAATTTTGTAAAAATACAAGTTTGAGTTATAATTAAATTTATTTACTATATTAAAATTTTAAACTAATAGTGTAGTATATATAAATCAATGTGTAATCATTAACATCGTATATTAATATAAATACCTAGTAACTCTACAAATATCTTCTTTCTTTATTCATCTATACATACACTTTATAAAGGTATAATATCATATTATCATACTCACATAGAAGCAGGACTATTCGTGTCTTTTAATCTCTACCTAGAGAGTGTCAACTTTTAATGATCTTAATTTTTCTAACTTACAGATAACATATCGCATTAATGATAAATTTTTGGCTGGACAGCAAATTAATGAAAAAATGAGAACTATACTAATTGATTGGTTAATTCAAGTTCACTTAAGATTTCACCTCCTACAAGAGACTCTCTACTTGACCGTCAATATTATTGACCGCTTTTTACAGGTAAGTTGATTAGAGCTTTAGGCTTTAATAATCGAGTTTTGTTTGTATATAATTACCTTGTGTATTTGTGGCATACAAGCAAATTTCATTA